ATAATTTTTTGTTTCTTACGTGCCATTAAATTACAAAAAATATTATTTAAGTGTAAAAATAATAAAAAAAAAAATTTTAAAAATATGTTAATTTGAATATATTTATCATACTTTATTTGTAAACGAATAATATATTTAATATATGTATTGCATTATTGCTAGTTCTTAACATTATATTTAAATATTTATTATTTTGTTTGATGTGAGTATTTTTGTTATACGCTTGATGCTAATAATAAAAAATATTTATATTATGATCACATTATTAATAATTATTAAAAATAAAATATGACAAAATATTTTTATTTTTTGCGTGCCAAAGACACCGTCCCTGGTGTATAGTATAGATTTTAATTAAAACTGTAAATTATTAAAATATAATCAATATTCTTAGAACTAATTAATTTATTAATCAATACAACTTTAAACTTTTTAAAATGTTGAAATATCTACAAATATATATATATATATTTTTTTTTGTTAAATTTAGGTGTTGATTTAACAAATATAGAGACTTTGGTCTTGAAATAAAATGTCAAGCTTTACCATGACAATCCGAAAATAAACTATTGGTATAGGATTTTCAATCTATACAAAAAAAAAAAATCTATCTCAGAATACATAATAAAAACCACCATTATAAAATCAATAAAGATTCGGTATATATTTCTATAAATAATAGAATATTTATAGTAAAAACTTCAATTCAATAAATATTATCAAAGCACTATTATAACGGACAGTAATTTAATTTTGGTTACTCGTAATTCCTCAGTATTAAATTGATTTAAAATGTACAACTTTAATAAGTAGTGTATTTATTAATAATAGACTGTGTTTATAAAATAAAACTAAAACAGTCAAAACACAAAATGAGATGAAGATTAAATTTAGAGAAATTTTAAAGTGATTCTTCATACTTAACTTCATAACGGATTATAAATTATTTTTATATTTTATTTTTTTTTGTCTACTCATTCCTTTGATTCGTTTATTTTTTTTTATCGAGGGAAAGTTACATTGTAATATTCTCAATCTTGTGCAACCATCACGTTGTTTTGAGTGAATTGTGGCCAACAATAAACAATTTGTAATTCATAATTTTGTACTTACGATATACTTATATCTATTTAATTTATTAAACTTCGGTATTTCCATGTTTAATTTCTTCTATAATTTAATCTTATACAATAATTTTTAATAATATTTCATCAAATAAGGTATCAGTGTATCACCTATTATTTAGTAATATTGATACATAATTAATATTTAATAGAAATCACATAACTCCTATTCTTATTAGTTTCTATTTTAAATAGGTACTTAACAAATGCATTAAATTATTATTTATGTTTTAAACAAGTTAATAATTTCAGAAATCTACCTATATTGTTGATTAAATCAACAATATCTAATGCAGCATAAAATGGTGCAGTCAACTGAAAAAATTATTCGTCTTTTTCTACAGTTTTCTATACGCCATTATCATCAAATAATATTTTAATAATTCATCATTAAATATATATAGTGTATACCGTATATATTGATTTTTAAACCAATAATAATGACAAAATTCTACTAATAATCCTACAGTCAATACTTAATACCCACATTTGTTTAAATATACGATTTAAATGTCTATTAATTTGATATGTAGTGTGAATTATATAAAAAAAAGAAAAAAAAAAAAAAAACATGAATCGATAAACTTTATAACACCAATTGTATGAACATCATTCATCAAATTTGTTATTATTTAATAATATAGAAAAAATAATATTATCGAATAAATACTTTTTTGAGACTTGACTCAAATATAACATCACTTCTTTTATATACTTATTTATTTAGGCATAATTTTCCTGGAAAATATTTAAAATACACACACACATGTAATCGTGTACATACTATATGTTTTTTTTATATGATACACAGTAAACCAAACTCTGCTTAAAATTATTTTAATAATAATACACCACTATATTCTGTGTCAATGTGTGTAAAGCGAGACGAATGCCTTGTACCTACTCGGTCTTCGTGTTTTCCTGTACTACTTTTCAAAAATCCATAATTTAGTATGCATGGAATATGAATATTATATTATCTTGTGCAATTATATAACTTTGGTAAATATTTTGATTTTATACAGTTTCTGTTGTCCGTATTAATTTGCGTTAGGATTAAAATCTTGCGATTCATTGTGAGGTATGGTACAAAACCCAAAGGCATAACCTGCAGATTAGGGCTTACAAATTATTCCGACAAAACGTAATGGTTTCTAGATAATTGTTTAGATAACAGTTAGTTTACCAATAAAAAACCAATCTGATGAATAATTTGAGTATGATAAACTTATATAAAAAAGTACCGAATGTAATTCGTTTGTATCTTACAAATTTTACTTTGCCATTTGTGTTAAATAAGTAATTTAAACTGCTATTATATTGTCAATACGCATACGGAATATCATAGATTGATGACATTTAAATTCACAGAAATGGAAAATGTTTACAATAGTCAAGTACATAATATTATTTGTATGTTTGTTTTTATATTGTAGACTTTACATTTTGCCATATTAGGTCAGATACTGAGTTTCTATAATTGATTTATAACGTCTGATTAAGGCATGTTGACTTTTTATGTGTCTACGCTGTAATAAACATTTTATATTTAAACATCCTTAACTACCAATACAATATAATATTTCTCCGAAATTGTAACCCATTTATTATTTTACGTCAACTCGGTAGTATACGCCTAGATCTGTTGTTGACTTGGTTTACCATTTGTTTTATACGTATAATAATACTAAAATATAATGTTATGACTTTGTAAAACTCAGAAATGAGACATAAAAGAAAATTGTATTTAATAACCTACCGATGAATAATAACTAATGTAGAATAATTTATAATATCTAAATTCTAAATCCAACTTATAATGAAAAACATAAATATTTTTATTGATTACTTTTATTTAATTACTGAAATCATTAACCATTGAACTACCAAAGAAAAGATAAATTATTTATATGTTTAATTTCAATTTTTGTCTATTTCTTTCATAATACGTAATATATTGATATATTAAGCTATTAAGTGGATTAAAAAATCTATTCTACACATTAGGTACATACTAATGTAATTAATTATCAAAGACTTCTATAATCAAAGACATTTTAAAATGATTAAAAGTTAAAATAAATCTAATTAATATTAATGATTATTATCTACATAAATCATATTAAATTAATTGAGGTAAATTAAATTGGCATGTTCGTGCACAATGTGTACTCTCTAACTTACAACAATATATTTTTTAAATAATTAATTAATTTAAATAAAATACAATAAAGTGATAAGTCTATGGTTTTATAAGGTGCTTAATAATTATTTTGTTATGTAATAAACAATACAAGTATACAATTTAATGAACATTACAACAACTGTTATCATAAATTAATTACTAGGTAATAAAGCTCTCACCAACTTTTTTCTTTTACGTTTACACAAAAAGCTACATATATAAACAAATTTAATGTATATATTTATTATTACGTATTATATCTTATAAACAAAAAAATATTCAAAATAGTGTTACAACAAGCATATTAATATTTGAAAATTCAACGATAATACAATTTAAACTTACTCAATAAGAAAGGAGATAACAATTTTTAATTTATAAACAAATTTAAAATATTAAATATAAATTATTTTTAAAAACAATCGAAAATAATTTATATTTTATGAGTTATCATCAATAATATACTTATAATAAAAATGTCATCTTATCGTATCATATAAATGTCTCGATATAGTCCAGAATCTTTAAATATACAAATAAGTAATAACAAACAATATTAAAATAAATCAAAATATTATTAGAAATATAATCTCAATTTAAACTTTTATCTCTTTCTTCATTTTTTAATTATTAATATGTTATTTGTTTGAACTTATTGATTTGTTACATTAATTTATAAGAGTGATTAAAAATAATTTTTATTAAAATTATCGGTATTTATTTTAATCAAATAAGTGTTATACCTAGATAATTAGAATAACTACATTTGTATAGAGAAAAAAAACGTGTTCATTACGAAATTACACAAACACATATAATAATAATAATTTATTCAATTTAAAATAAATTATTATAATACAAAATATACATACTATGATAAAATTATGAGCAAATCTTCCCTCTCTTTAAATTAAATTTGAATCGAGAAGGGGTCTTAAATTTTTAAGCTTAAACTTATTAATTATATGTATTTATAATAATCTATTAATAATTATAGTCTCGTAAATAGTACTCTTATACTAATACGAAAAATAGCAGTGATTAAAACGATGTTAAATAACAATAATAATGATGATGATAATAATAATAATAAAAGTAATAATATTTGATAAAATAATAACATTGAAAAATTATAATAATGGCAATCTAAAACTTAACATTATAAGTTCCATAGACGACTTCAAAGAAATCCTTTAAATACAAATTTTTTTTTATTTTAAATTTATATAATTCCTTATTATTTATAAATAATTATATGTAAATTAATAAACATATATATTTTTAAATTAATATATTAGTTTAATTTCTAAAAGTAATCTATTAAATAGGTATTTAAATATTAATAATGTTTTATATTCATAATAATTTTTACATGTAATGGTATTTAACTTGATGCCCTAGGATTATTCTAAATGAATAAAATATGTCTGCTTCAAATGTTAAATTATTCTCATTATCGTTACTTCCAATAGATATTTGGCATACAATTAAATCATTCAATCTTTTGTATAAACATTTTTTTTTTATCATTAATTAAATTATTCGCGACAAATAAGAATGAAACTACTTAACATTCAACACATACTTACAATAATTGTACGTATGTGTTTCAAGTTTTAGTATTTTAACGTTTCATACGTTATTTTCAAAAGCCATTTAAGTTTTATTAATTGCATTATTTCATATGACAGCAGGTTACAATATGACTGTCGGCAGTTGTTAGTAATCGAAAACTTAAGTAATGAGTACGGGTATTCTGGTACAAGAGAAGTCAGTTTCCACAGACCCGGAGCAATTGGATGATGTAAGTGCCATATATTATTGTAAAACAGTTTATTGTAATAAAGTTTTCAATGAAACGTTATTATTATTATTATTTTTTTTTTCGTAGATATATATAATAATACATCAATGTAGTTTATTATTTTTTAATCGATTCCGTACTTTATTAGCTAGACCACGAAGACTATCGGGTACATCATATCCTGGCGACATTAGTTAACCGAAAAGTGATATCCATCAAGGCGGATATTTGTGAGACCAAACTCAAATGGAGGATACAGCCAAAATTATTAGTACAAAGATTGGCAGAGAAAAATTCAAAAAACAAACGGAAACTTGGGTATGTGTTTATTAACTCCGGGGAGAAACGTGAAAAACAAAGGTTATTAGCAATCGACATTGAAAAGTTTACAGAAGTTATCATTCATTTTTAAAAATTATTCGTTTTGAAAATCTCAACATGTAAAATTGATATATTTAACTCAACACAGTGATTAATGAATAATATACACTATGCATATTATTGTAGTATAATATTAATAACACGTTGTTTTTCGTTGAACTTTTGTGGCCACAACATTTTTACTATATTATACTGTTACTATATTTCCAGTAGAAATATTATTCTACATTAATATCATACTCAAAAATAGTTTTTACTTTTTTATGATTTAAAATATTAGTTTTTAATCAAAGAAACTTATAAGCAATAAAAGTCATCACCTAAATAAATATAAATTTACTAAAATGTCAACAACTACAATTGACAAAAAAGCCAATAAAATAATATAAACGTATGAAAATATAACAAATTTCATTTGTTTGACCTACTTACTAAGTTACTGTGAAATTATTTGTTTTAATTCGTTTCATTTTTTTTTTCCATTCAATGTAAGTTAACAAATGTCATATTTATATTACTCATAGTAGGAGTCTCTAGCACTTATTAAAAAAAAAAATCATCCGTCAGAAAAAAAAATGTTTTACTATGTTTTTCTACTCAAGAAAATCAATACATTTTTATTTTTCTTATGCTCGGTACTAAAACATGTATTAATTAAAACTATTTATCTACCAGTTGAACTGTAAAATACATCGGTATATCTCCTTCCAGATATAATTTTATGCTGAACAAAATTATCCACGTAATGTACATACATTTGACATACCAGATATTTTGTGTTAAAATAACCGATTATAAAAATATTTCTACTTAAAACAAATACAATTGACAGGCCAAAACATTTATTTATTGAATAAAATATATTAAATATACAAACAACAATCTAAATTCAACTATAGTTATATGGCAATATAATATGTTTTAATGTTTCATTTAACTTCTATATATAAGTAAATATCAATACAATAATAATATGATATAATACAATATTTTCAATAAATAATTTAAGTTTTGTACAAAAATTAATTTAACCTACAGTATTAGGTACTAATCTAAAACTAAATTACTAATAGCTATATTAATATACTACATTAGAATAGAATTAAAAATATAGACTAACAATAAGTCTTTGTTCAGAATCGTTTTTTGTACACAGATTTAATTCAAATTGAACACATCCATGATAATAGATACAGTGAAAATCTACTTTACAATATACACTAGTATAGCTACATTTTTCATAAATAATTATTTTGTGAGATTAATGTTAAAAGCTAGGAATAGTTATTACTTCGGGGCCCCTATAGTACCCTATAGTACTATTTTAATATGTTATACTACTTTAGGTACTTAATTACTACAATAATAAAATTAATGAAATTTACATATGTCTAAAATTAATCTAAAGTTTTTTTTTATTTGCAAAAACAGCAGACGCCGAAAAGGTCGCTGCATGCATTCATGTCAAAAACACCATCACCACCATCATCATCATCATCATCAGCATCGACATGATCTAGATCACCAATTATTCCACCATCATCACCACCATTGTGATGGGATCGTTCGACAAGAAGAACCTGTTAAAGTTGAAGAATGGCCTCAGACTCAAAGACCTACTGTACCCTATTTAGGTGGACACATCCTTACCGCCGCATTGCAAAGGTATCTTACAAAGGATCTTACAAACTATCAACCATAGGTACTTAAATAATAGTGAATACAAAATAGTTTGTTTTGAATCATTTAAATGGGATTTTCAAATTGATAAAATTATAAAGCATTCATAGAATTAATTTTAACTATATTTTATTATTATTATTGTTATTATTTTCACTTGTCTTACTATACAAAAAATACACATGATCACATGTCCAATAGCTTAGGGTTATACTATATAAACCTTAAATCATATCCAACGTATTGTTCAAAATATGATAAATCATAAAATATAAGGTCAATTTAGGTACAGACATAATAATTCAAACTTTCTTAATAAACTAAACGAATATTACTTTTATACAATTAAAAATTCCGTTACTTATAAGATTAAAATAATTTTGTATTCAAAAGAAACACCCAAGTTAATGAGAAAAAGTTACGAAAGTTTAATAAGTTATATTTAAGAGCAATAGTTGCATACAGAGTGATTATTTTAACAGCAAACACTCATTATTTCAAAAAGTACCAACTTTTGAAGTACCTATATATATTTTCCATTTTTTTTTTTATTATTATTTATTTAATTTAAAGTCATTAAGAAACAACTTTTTTTTAAATATGTTTTTTATTGCTATAATTTCCAAGCAAAATATTTTTCTGAGAATTTCTATGAAAAAAAAAATGAATGTTGAAAGAATTAGTTTTAAGTATTTAAAGTTTATACAAGCAAAGCAAAATAGAACAATAAGTGTACCTTAATTTTTTTTATCTACTATTCTACTTTTATAAGTTTTAAATACTTTATGTTAAAACTTTTAAATATTAAAATTAAATAAAAATTTACTTTAAATTCAATATGTATTCATTAAAATTATTAGAAAAATATTTTGATTAAAAATATTGAATTAAAAATGTATAATATCGTTCAAGATTATAAAAATTTAGGAAGTCATATCAAAAATTAACTGTAAAAAATTTATTTTTTTATTTTTAAATTTTTTTTTTAAATAACTTAAAATTTGTAAAAAGAAATTATACTGTTGTTGATCGATAGACGATAAGTTATAGTTTACCATTGATAAGGATCTATGTCGAAATAGCCAAAGTAATAATCATAAGGTAGATAAATCGATTACTAAAGAAAAAAAGTCTAATTACCATACAAAAATATTCATAGTTAATAATTTACATATAATATTAAAAGACTTAATGTATTGTGTCCTAACTGTCTGTAGAATATGAACTATGTTTTAAAAATTAAATAACAATATTTCAAGATAGAGTGAAATCACACATTTGGTAGTTTTAAATTCACCAGTATAACTCATGAAAATACAATTATTGAAATCATTTTAAAAGTTAGGTTTAATCTGTCTTACAACCTTATATCAGCAACGTACGAAATATTCAAACATGTCTCCGATACCTCATAGATACTGGTTACAAAATCGGTATTTCACACCTTTCAAATTATTAGTGGAACATGTTCGCAACTACATGAAGTAATTCCAATCTTTAACGGACTTATGAAAAGTAGTTAAGGAAAACGGTCACCCACCCATGTGAACTTAGCTCTACTGTCACAGTACAACTTTCAAGTAACCTTAACCTCGTGAGTCAGATTCGTACATTTCCGTTAGGTAGCCACACAGTCGAAATTTACTAGTTGGACCGAACCGTTCCTCAAAATATTATTTCAGTTCATAAATCGGCGCTATAGGTACTTACCCGTCCATCATAAAGACCGGCAATTGGGACTACCATTTCGAGCTACAACTCGGTGATAGCTCAACCATGCACCACTGCTTCATTTAAGTAGTTTTTTTAGGTAATACAAATTAAAAGTAAGTAGTTATAAATGTTAAAATGTAATCCAGATTTACACGTGTTAAAAGAATCACTTAGTATATTATATTGAATGCGTAATTTACTTTTTGTATGTATATTAAGTATTTAATATAACTTAATCTTCCCATAATATTAAATTAGAATTTGTAATTTACACCTACATTTTAAACTATACACTTGACTATATATTATAATAAAAAAATCATCTTGACATCATTTTAATACTAAGCATATCATATGATAAAATAACATTATATTACAGGTTTAAACTTTTTAAATATTTAAAAACCTAAGAATTAAATACCAATAGTTAATAAATAAAATTTTCATGTAGGTTTATGCATGCTAAATAATATTTATTAAATGTATCCAAGTGTAATTAATCTGTCAAGATCAAAAATATTCTGTGTACGTAAGAAATAATTAAATTCATAAAAATTAAAAATATATTTTTATATTAATATAGATCCACTGCTGGTATGTCAGAAGAAAATCGACATTATACAGAGACTCAAAACCCAAAGACCCGGTTGAAAAGAAAAATCCGGAGAACGAGATTCGGAGAAGATAAACATAATGTAATGAGACCTCATCCCGTACCTACAATACATCCAGACGACTTACCTCAAAGAGCGAGATGGACAATTATCATCACCGCCGGACTGTTGCTCATCACTTGTATGCTATTGGTGGGCGTAACACTGAGAATGGCACCAGTAATTGACGAACTTGGTGGGTAATGTTTCATAAAATTATGTAACGATAGGTATAAATATTGTGCTTATTGCTTACGTAGGATAAAACTTTAAAAAACTCCGTTTAAATTAAATTATAAAAAAAACCATTTTTAAGCAATTTAATTAAAAAATTCGTAACTATTAACTTTTTATTAAAAAAAACCCTTATTTTTATTATAAATTATCGATTTAGTTAACAATAATTTGCTATTTTTTCTGCTGTACTAAAAATTGACTATTTTATCAATCACGTGTAAAAAGATTTTATTCATAAATTTTAACTTCAAAGTAACTTTTGGATCAAATGTTACTTTATGATCCGTGGCCATGATTTAAAAAATGTCATTGTTATTGAAGTCAGCACATTTCCTTTAGTTTATTCTTTATCTTAACCACATCGTCCATTTTCCTCTATCCACTATAATTGTAACAATTATCGTGTCCGATTCCGTCAATTTAAAACCTCATAGTACCTACTTAGCCAAGTCATCAAAGAATAATATCATAAGTACAAAATTCTATCAATGTTTATTTTGCAATGACTAACTCACGATTAGACGATATTTACCATCGATTTTAATTTTAACCCATGATTACCGTGTATTATATATTTTTGGTTTGTTCCAACGATCGAAGAATTCTCTTCACATACGTATTTCGATTAAGTATCTAAACAATATAATTAGCCACTACACAGATTTAAAATACAACTAGCAATAGCCTATCAAAACAATTATATTACTAAAATAGTTCCTAATTATAGAAATTTTTATGCCACGAACAGTGGTGGATTTTGCGGGGAGTAAGGTCAATTTAAAATTGTAATATTTATTTATTTATATTTATTTTCACACTTAATATTTATATCATATACATACCCTCTCATCCGACAGTCTCCAGCGAAACCGAGTGCACCAAAATATCTTTTGTACTATAATCATCATACAATATATATTATATAGTCAGCATACGTATTGCATAGTTCTGATATTATTTGTTTATTATGGGCTAGGCGTACTGTTATGACATTATTAAGGTGCAAACGCATACAAAACGCACGTGTCTGTCAAAACGTCCGTCTGTATATTTCCTCAAACGAAATCATAGCGTAGGAGAAGTTAAATTATTTCACCTTCGTAATTTGTTATATGTATATATACATATATATATATATATACACACAGATCGCTTTTACCATCACACTTTTACTTGCTTACGGTATCACATAATAATAAATTATGGATAACAACTATTTCTCGTGAACATTTTAACTCTTCCCTTTTATTGCTATTAATACTGTATAATGATTGAGAATACTCTGTCTTAACAGTTGAGATTGATATAACATTTCTATTGTATGTTTAATATTATATGATTCAGCCATTTAACATTTATATGATAATATATCATATTATATCCTATCTATACAAAAAAAATTAGTTTCATTCTCGAAAAGAGGTGTTTTTCGTTTGTTTTCCATCACAACTAACCGTTAACTTCTTTAATAACACAAAAATATACTATAATATTTTGCAGTGTTGTTATTTATTGTTGTAATGCTCATGTATAATAATTGTGTAGGCATAAATTGTTAAAGTATATGAGAATAGCCACACAAGTATGCATAAAATAAATTGATTACCGAATTTATATATAACAACAAAAAGTGATGGTTATACAGTTTTATTTCGATTTTTGATAGTCGAGTATGTGCGATTGTGATATATTATATTATTGTACAGCAAAACACTTAATAGATTATTATATTAATAATTCATAATAATTCAAGATATTACATCATTCAAAAATTAAAGTAACTATACATTAATAAACAATATGTATTTTTTAGTAATAGCGTAATTTATATTGACTGCAGCAAACTGCAGTGGGCAAGGTTACAAAAACACTGCTAGCAAATGCAGTAGCACACGTACACGAATAATAAAACATTAAACATAGATTAATTTAATATATCTTACATCGAAATTGTTCGCTGTAGAGAAATAATGTTGGCGTATAGTTTTTTTTTTTTTTTTTAATTTCCTCGCCTACAAATCTTTTTCAATATAAGTAATTGTTAAGTATCTCAAATACACCTATATATTACAGTGATTTTTCTAACATTTGTGTCATTTCACTTTCAGCCTATGTATTATGTAATGATAATTTTTTTTAACAAATAGATATCACTTATTTTTTGTATAGACTCTAAAATAAACATTATATCTAACTAAATTTATTCTTAATAAGTATCATACTAATAATTAATGCATAATATTCATAAAATATTTAAACATTTTAGTTAGCATATTGACATGTATTTAGCATGTATGTGTTCGTTAATTCAAAATAAATTAAGAAAATATTACCTGTATTGATTTAATTGCCTAAACGACTACATTTTTAAATAGTAATATCAGAATATTTATATCATATGTATTAGATAACAGTCTGATTTCAAGCTAAAACATGTACTTACTGTGATTTCAGTTCGAAATAAAAACGAAGAGTTAATGAATTCACTAGATCGAGAAGAATTTGCACCATCAGACAATAATACTGAATACATATATAGATAACACCTTTAATAAACTAACAAATTATTATTATTATTGTATTATATAATTAAATATACTTAACAACATTTAATTAAATTACCTACTAATATTATTGTGGTAAATGTAAATCTTGTAATATGTTTAAACGTAAATTTGTTATACAATTGTAAATATTGTTGCGTAAAGAAGTCATCGTCCAAATGTTAATTTCTAAATAATAGTGAATGGCAATCACTGATTTTTAGATTTTCGTACTATGAATGTTAACATAATATTATAATGTCTATAGAGGATATAACTTGTAAATCATTATGATTGTTTTTGAACTATTATGATAATATTTATATGTGATTATTGATAGTTATGTTTTTATTATAAGTAAGCCAAAAAACTATATTTATATATATATTTAAATTTAAACTGAAGTTATAAACTAAATGTATTTTTGAGATTTTTAACTTTTAACTTAAAGTTTGTTAATCATAATTTACAATAGTCATGAATTCATGATGTTTAGTTTTATTTCCATGTGGTCAAGTAAATAATAAATCATAATTTTCCACAAATAAAATTAACCTTTTGTTCGTATATTAAAGTTTAAAATTGATATGCTAGAGTTTTAATTAAACGATCTCCAATTGTTATTCTTTTACGTGCGTTATTTTTGACTGCGACTGTACATAATATTAGTATATATAGTGAAGATTTTTTTTTTTTTTTGACACGTCACAAAGATAAAAATATATAATGCATTGTCTTAGTCAAAGTTAGAAAATATTAACGTATTAAACATGTTATAGCCCAAATAACAATCGAAATACCCATTAACAATTGATAAACGACGATAGTTAATGCATTCAAAAATGGTTGAGGTTCCAAATATATTAGATGAACGAATATGGTTAAGCATCTTGAGCATTCAACGCATTTTGACCATGAGGACTTTTCGAACATCAAGCCTATGCTCATCAATGACCAAACAATATAAAACGTAGAAATTGTCATGCACGTAAAATTAATTTCCTAGAACAAATATTAACAAACGTTAAATCTTCACCATTTACAAGCTACCAACAATAAAATATAATTTATACTATAATATTTTAAACTCCTATGACCAGGGCTGTGAATAATTGTTTGTATTAATAATATGATATCAATCTGATTCAATAGATATTACCAATATAAATACAAAACAATTGTATTATATTTAAATTGTTTAAAAACTTTCTTTTTGTTTTATACATTTGTTAATTGTGTGTGTACAATTTTAATATTAATCATATACTATGTATAAGTACCCAAATACCTTTAACTTTCTATACTACTATTCCAAACTTGTAAATTTTTATTATTAGTTATTACTATTATTTGTTTAGCTATAGTCACAATATATCTATTTTGATTATTTTTTTATGTTTTATTAAGTCAATAAGACTATTTTGCATAATTTTACCCACTTAATTGGAATTTGTATGTGGCATATTTATAAAACCTACTGCCCTATTATTGAATACATTAAATTAACAGCTTTGACAGTGACTACTTTCAAAATGATACACATTAATGACAAATCATAGAAAATTTCTAAATATATATAGGTACTATCATTTCAGGCTATTGTTATTTATTTATTTTTTAATTGAATCTTATTTATAATTCCATTGGAATACAATATATAGATAGCCTTATATTATTTTAATAATAAATGAAAAACTAAAATATGAATAATAAGAGTATGGTTTACCTGTACGTTATTATTAGTGAATAGGTATTGGTACATTTATAATAACTTAGGTTAGATACTAAATTATTTTTAATTTTAAACCTAATATACTTATGATAGTTATTTAATATATAATTATACCAGTATTATTCATTTTAACCGACAATTCTGACTTCTGACTTAATAATATTATTATAGTAATTTCCGAATGTTAAAATCATTAAAGAATATTTTTAACAAACTTTTTTTTTTAATTCAAATAAATATTTCAAAAATAGTCTGATGACGCCGAATTATTGACTCAAGTTTTGGTTTTTTATATTATTAAAAATAATGTATAACATTTTTATGAAAATAATTCCGATTTTATTCCAAGTAATTTTTTTGGTATTTTATATAATTACATTTTTATATACTTGAAATATTAAAATAAACATAAAATATTTTAACAACTGCTATAATTTCAATTCACGTACAAATAATACAATTAATTATCTCAAACGGTTTCAATGGCTTATATTATATTGTGTTCAGGATTAAAAAAAGTAATCAATAGAATTTTTGTCGCTTCAATCAAATTATATTAGTTTTTGTCCTCTTATACCCAATCTTATGGTATAAAACTTATAAAAATATATAAAGTACGTTAAAAAATATTGGTAAAATATTATTTGACATGGAATGTTTTCTTATTGAGCAATGGATTTATTATTTTTTGTTTTTTTTTTTTTTAATTGGAAGTTTATAATATTTAAAATTTATATGAATGTCATTATGAAATAAGTACATATATATATATATATATATATATATATATATTATGTATATAAAAAAAAACACATTTAAATTAAATTGTATTACAATTATTATTATTATTATTTTTTTTTTTTAATTGTTGTTTGATATTGATAAAATAAAATTTTCAGCTCAATGTTTCGAAAATATGATACCCAACTAAATATTTAATTACACCCTTCATATTTATTAAATTAAGTTATAATATATTTTATGTTATTACATATTTACATAATACTTTTTTATTATTTTAAGTTATGTGATAATAATAATCCGATTAAGTGAAACATATATTTCTTCAAAAATTCAGTATACCTACAAGAGTTTAAGTTTGATTTACATTAAAAATATAAATTAATCTCAAATAACATTTATTATTCATTGTATTAATTAGAATTCGTTTTTCATATAAAATATTGATGAACAGTTTAACCTTTAGACAATTAATATTTTTTAATATTCATGTTGTATTACATTATTATAGTATACTATTATATTATATATGTAGAAAATAAAATGAAACATATTGTTAATTTGTCTTATATTTGAGTATGTTTTTAATTACATTTAGACATTTGGTAATTATAAAGTAAACTTTTGTGTACCATTATCCAATGTTATACTCGCCAAACATTAAATAAACTAAAAAAATAATTTAAAGGAAGATATTCAATTATTATTTGTGTTACGTATGAAATTATCAAACAAACCATAAATTAAAATATTTTTATAATTTCTAATCGATTTTTTTTACGAAACCAAAAGTCAAAACTAGATCTTAATTTAATCAAATTTCTCATAAGTACTCGAACGTAATTGTAATTAGAAAAACCATTTTCCTTAGTATAATAAAATAACTTTCATTGGGAATCTTATGAACTTAAGTTTAATATTATAATACAGTAATAGTTTGTATGTATATTTTAATATTTAAATTGAATCTAACTGAACTTAAGTACAACTATTTTATATTATTCTACTTAATATTAAGTTTTAAAATCTTAATAGAATAGTTCTGTAGATATTCTATAAAATTTGAATACAAATGCATTCAACAATTTATTTTTTAATTTGATTGTTTATTATAATTTAAATAGGAACTGACTTAAACTAAATATTATAATATAAATAAATAAAATAATAGAAATAATTATAATTTAATTTATTTTTAAAAATAAAATGAATGGGTAAAGTATTAAATGTATTAAAATAATTTTACCAAAAAAATAAAAACTTAAAAAAAGTTATCTTACCTGATAAAATTAACATATTGTTTTTATTCAAATGTTAAGAAACGCATCTAATTGATTTTCCATTATGTTAATAGTTTAATCATTGTGGATTTGTAATTATATATGCAGTATAATATTTAGTTATTATAAAATAGAACATAGTATTTTATTGTAAGTTTTAAAATATTTATTCAATAATATTATATATGTGATTTCTTTATTGTGATGTGTTGTTAAAATTGATATCCTTAAACTATATTACAATCATAATATCTATTGTGTGTTGTTGTCATTATATTTATTTCAATGGTTAGCATTATAATTATTATTATAATAAAATGTTTTGCTGAGTGAATTATTAATATTTGAATTTGTTATTTATAATTTTACCTAAATTATTAATTTATATCTGTACAAAATAGTATCGATAAAAACATTTAAAAAATACTGTATAAATATATATATAAAATATTCGAAATATTAAAAATAATTTTAACAGTGCACTTACAGAATGAGGAATTGTAGTTAATGTAAAATATCCGTTGACTACCGCAATAAAATGAATTAGCAAATATGACTTAAGTGCAAAAGATATCTTCACATCATATTTTTTTCTACGTCCTGTGACCTAAATCATTTAGTCAAAATTTAAAAATGAAACTAAATTTGAAATAATAATTTCATTACACTGGCGCGCCTTCCGTCGTGACCTGTCCAAGACAAACCTGGTACCCAACTTGGACCCTTGATAATCGATCTTAATTTGTTCTTCCAACCATTCATACTATTCCATTTATAGTATAAATTTAAATTGTAAAAAAACTATATTATTAAAAAAAAAAAAAATGTATGCTCAATATAAGTGCATAAACACTTACTGTTATAATAGGATATTTACTTGTAAGGATAAAGGGTTAAATGCATTTTTCTGGTATACTAAACCATACGTAATAGGCTTATCTGGATAAAAGTCTTGGAACGTTCCAAATATTCTATCCCATATAATTAAAACGCCTCCATAGTTCTTATCTAAACAGTATAGATTGCTTCCTAAAAATATATTTTTTTATCAAAAATAATTTCACTAAACATAAAATATTATGTCTGTACCGTGATGCACCCTGTGATATGCCGGAGTGTTTAAAACATAATCCAATGGCCCAATAGTTGTTATTGTTTCGGTATGGATCCATATCTGGTACAAGAGACTCAACTGTTGATGCACTAATAACAAGACTGGTGGAACAAATAAAGCCAAAGGAGCATAGCACACCTAACATTATTTTAATATAGTATAAATATCAAATTAACCTTTTTTTTGTTTTTATTTGAAATATTTTCTTCTTACAATTCCCACTAAACTTTGAAATACCGATTGTCTTATTCCAACAGTAACATTAAATTCCTCAGAACTATGGTGAACTTGATGTTGAGCCCAAAAAATATGAATTTCTAAAATACATTAACTAATAATTAACTGTAATTTTTTTCCATGGGTATTGAAATTGTTTACCATGACTAGCTCTATGCATCCAATAATAACAAAAATCAACCATAATCGCCGAAAAATACCAGAAAGCTATAGAATTCCAAGGTAGTTCACAAATTTTATAATTGTAATAAATCCAAAAGTATAAACAATGTTCTGATCCTCTATAAAACAATCTATAAAAAAAATGCATTAAAAACATGATACTACTTATTGTAATTATTTTAAATATTTAATTATATACTTGGCACACTCTTGCAGGATGGCATGACTCATCGAGGTAATGCTGTCGTTAAGTCTGAGTATTTCTTTTCTTTGCCATAGCCGCAATCCATTTTCTAACACTAATAAAGTCAAGAAATATGGCCAAGCCTGAATAATTTTTGGGTATTAATGATAGTTTTCATTAATCGATAATACTAAATTATTATTAAAATATTCACGAATATATTTATTACAGATATTTTGTTGATAATCGAGTATACAACAACGCCATTCAGTTTATTTAGGGTGCAATTTAATCTTCTAACATTAATATCATATCGTGTTTGTGACTCTTATAGATCCAATTTACCTGCGCGTATATATGTGGTAAGTGCTTGATGTCCTTGTACATATGTCGGTGAGGATTACCCAAGTAGAACATGTCCCATAGTAAAATTGTCGTATTGGTAGTTTCAAAATTCATCATTTTGTTTTACTACTTTGATACAATAACAAATAATGATAATAATTAATAGTATATTAATTATATTATATGCAGGGATGGTGACCACGTTCGAAATGATCTTTGATACAAAAATGTTATCAATAGAAGAAAGAACAGTTACAATATCGGAACTATCTACATCAATCGTGAACAAATTTCTGAAGATGGACGTTGAATAGTTGAAATGCTTAATAAATGGCAGGAATCCGTATTATTAGAACTATAAAACAAATTGAAACCGATATAATGAAAATTATAGCTTGAATGAAATTTAATATTTAGATTCAGTTTTTTTTATAAATATTTATGGCTTCTTAAACATTTTCCTATATTCTTTTAATAACTACACAGTTATGTAACAGTTGATAGTTTTGTAACTAAGCACTATGCTGTTTGGCATATTCTAATTATAACCGTATTATCTGACCACACATATTATAATAAAATTTGTTTGAAATTAAAATAACATAATGTTAATATTAAACTATTAAAGTACATATTCATTAGTATATACTTATGTAAACTGTATTGTTTTTAAGAATAAAAGTGATATTTATGTACCTCATCATAAATATTATTTTGCAATGTTACGTAAATTTCCAGTTGAAAATTAAAATTCAGTATAGTTGTATTAAATTAACATAAAGTATCATTTAAGATATGTTTCTAACTATTATTGTCAGTTAAAAAAAAAAAAATCATTAGGTATGTAACTAATAATTTTGTATAGAACCTATATATTTCTTGGTAATTATAATATTTTTAATTAAGTTAATTATAGAATATTAATTTTAACATTAAATTAGTCATACTACAGTGTTATATCAAACATATGCAACTGTGAAAATTAATTTTATGAAATTAAACAATAAATCAAATTAAAGATTTTAAGAAAGATGTATCAACAAACATAAAATGTGCCTACATAGATAGGTTAGACCACAAAAATGTTTGTAATACATTAAAGAAATAAGCATAAACAATTCCAAAGCATAAAAATCATTGTTAGAAATATTTGAAACATAAAAAGTCTATTACATATAATTAAGTAAAAATCCGTTTTGATGAACTATTAACGTTCCAATTAATATTAATATAGATTGTAATTAATAACGATTTATTTAACAAAATTAACAACCAATTGTGTGCATAAGAACCTACCAATATCAACAATATCATATCTTATTTATGGTATACAAGTAATCTCTTTAAAGTTTGAACACTTGCTAGGACTTTTAAGAGTAAGAAATATTTAACCATGGTTTATATCAAAATTAACAGGTTTGTCAAGTTTTACCTATGTCTATACAGCCATATTTTTTTAATAATTCATTATATTTTGTTATAGAAGGCTTAGTAATTATTACGTATAACTATTGCATCTTATTTTAAAAATAAATAATTTATTGTTTAACTATAAGGATAAGGATATTGGACTTAAAAAACAACGGAGTTTTTATGCTTAAGACCACGAATTTATAGAGATTTTATCGCTTAATCTTGATATTTATTTTATTAATTCATTGTAATTGTATACAATCTACGAATTTGATCCAATATTTATTTTATAAAAAGACATGTATAAACGTAATATAATACTTTTCAAAAAGAGTAGGTAAATGATAAATGATCCAAGGTAGTCCATTCCGTTAATACGTTTATTTTTTACATTTTATGATACAGAGTGCTTGATATAGCCCTTATCTAAGTTAAGTAGTATTTAATTCTATGTTAATATGTTATACTTATCCTAATAAACCAATAAAAATTCGATTTTAGAATACTAGCATGAGAATATTTAAAATATAAATATTGGCTACAGTTTAACGATATGAATTATTTTTAACAAACTTTTATTTTAATAAACAGGTTTTAAAATCTTCATAAACAATTTATATCGTAAAATAAAACTGCACATAGATTATTATTTCGATTAACTTACTACATTTTAATCATCCATAAAAAAATGTCTGCAAATGTATACTGTGACTGAATATGAGTAAATTTACATACTAAACCCACGTAATACACCGATATCCTTAAACTCCAAACAGCATTATTTATTTGTAGTCTTTCTGATACAATTAAATACCTACCTCAATATTTAAAAATGTAACTCATCCCCCGTACTACAACTGTTTAAATCACTTTAAATTTATATTTAATAATCCTTTTCATAAATATTGGACAATAAACTAATTTAACGTATGAATGTATAATAGTATAAAATACGATTTACGAAGGGAAAAGAGATGTAATTCACAGAATGAATAATCTTAAATTGGATAAACTTCAAAAAAACAATTATATGTAACTAAACTATAAAAATATTAAATACTCTTGTAATAAAATTAAAACTATATTTAATTTTTAATATATATATTATATATATATTTTCAATTTTAAACTGTTCTATAATTGATTTACTATCTGGGTTGAAATATATTTTATATATCATTGGTTTTAAATAAAAATGAATAAAATCTATATAATTATTTATTTTTATTTTTACTTATGTATACATTATAACTTTGCATGTGAGTATAAAGAATAATACAATTGTAAACACAAACTAAAAACTATATCTTTTAACATATTTTTATGCATTATATATGAATAAATAATTTAATTTTAAATAACATGATTATTTCAAAATTTTTTGTGACCATATTATATTTTATACTTAGAACATAATTTGTTTATTTAATAACTTTTGCATTATTTTATTTGTAAAACACTATATTCACATAATTAACTATTAACACTTTTTTTTTTTCATTTTATCGTCTATTTTAGTATTTTAATTTTTTATTGTAAGCAGTAGGTAGGTATATAATAGCCAAGAAATGTTTAGTAGGTACTATGTAACATCTAATTGAACTAATTGAACTAAAATAACAGCATTACGTGTTTATATATATTTTAATATATACCTGAATACAATTTTAATTATTTTTTGTTGATGGCTTATTAATTTAATTTATAATCCATTTTTGTTTTATTACATTTAAAATAAATTATTTTAAAACATTGTAAAATAACTATTTAATAATTTATTATCAATTATTATATAAAAGATTAATTTAACTTAAAAACTTAATAAATAAACTGACTGATGATTAATTTTTAGATCATAAAAAATAACATTAACTCATATAATATGATAAAATTAAAGTGACTTATTTTTTCCTGGGCGATAAAAGTGTAAAATCATCAAAATATTGATTGCTAAATTAACTAATCATGTTTCAAAATTTTTCCCAAAAACCTAGAATTTATAGGTCAACTTTATTAAATAATTTAAAAATATATTGATAGACTTGGAATATTTTTTAAAAGGCTAAGCCATTTAGTATTTATTTAAACCAATAAATTTATTAAACTTAAAACTGCTCATTCCCAATGTTTAAGAATATCGTTTTTAAAATTTAAAATAATTGCTGGTGTAGATAAATGAAGTAATGCACAATAATTCTTTACCTACTTACTCTTTCCCCCCCCCCCCCATGTGCCTCGTCATTTTAGTTCACTATAACAACTATTAACCCTGATTTCCTTTTAAAAAAATAATAATTTTAATTAGATATTATAAAAAATATTTAAATAAAACAATTGTAGCACATTCAATGGTTAAAAATTTATTTGCAATATAAAAACACAAATTTTGTTTTTTTTAATACCCGTATCTCCCTCGCACTGCTTAGTTCCTATCTAAAATTAATTAGTTAATTCATAATTAATTAACAAGAAAATCTTTTATATATGAGTAAGTACACATATTGCACTATTTATAACACATTAAATACATAGTATTTATACACATAATACATAATATGTTTATACAGAGCCACAAATCAATAACATATTTAAAATATTTTTCAGTCATACAATAATTTCAATATTTTAAACAAATTAACTATATAACAGGCTTGTTATTACAACGAGCTTTTGACTTACTAAAGAATTATTTAAATCCTACAAAATGCACTTAGAAGATTTCCTGTTTATTTATCCTGTTCTTGACCCGCAACTAATATACAACTAATACATTTACAGTGTACCCTCAGAAATGCTTATAATGCAATAAAGGTTTTAGTAATCTAGCCAAAATAATACGTATTTATTTTATTTTTAAATGGAATGAAATAGAAATTTAATATTCTAAATTATTTAAATTATAATTAAACGAGACTTAAAACTTAAAAAATATGGGCAAATGGGTACCATTTAACTTTACAATAGGTGCTGATTTGAATTACTGTATAACAGTAACATTATACATTATACATATATTTATATATACATTATAATTTATAATTTAAATTAAAATAAAATAATTAACGTGAAAATTCCTATTTTTTCTTAATTTTGTTTTTTTTTCCCTAGTGATTTTTTCAAGTAGGTAATGGGAATTTTTAATTTAAAGTATAAACTAGATCTAATTTATCATTAGAGACTACTTTCAAAGTTAAAAATCGAAACATTTTTTTAAAATATATTATACATACACACACACACACACACACAAAACACACATCTTTATAAATTCAATACATTCATCTCTCCACTTAAAATCTAAAACTAATTATAAACCATAGTTTCTAGTATAAGTACATAATATTAGAACAAAAAAAAAACTATAGAAATAAATTAAAATAAAAGATTTAAACCATTATGTATATAAATTAATTGTATTAACTTATTTTTTTTTTTTTCAAAAATAAAAGTTATTTCGTATATTTAGGAATAAAAAAAATATATCAACTTAAATTTAACATTTATATTTTATGTTAATACGGTTATAAAATATTGTCAGTACATGATTATATAAATATTTTGTACATATTAAAATATATTTTTAAATTAAATTAAATCGTTCAACTTATTTTATTTATAAGTATACTCCAAATCATTTAATGAGTATTTTAGTTTAAAATGTTAATAATAACATTCAAAAATCTATTATTTTGTCAAATATTAAAAAATATTCTGAAATTTATTTGCTTAGATTTTTTTAAAGCTGATTCAAACTTATGTAAATAAATGTAATATTTTTAATAATCAATATATTCAAAATTTAACTTAGGGGAACAAATTAATTATAAGTTGTAACTTGAAATCAAAATATTTACTTATTTTGTTTTACTATAAACTATTGCATTTTATTCAAATAAAATAAGTGATAAAAATATAAGTTATATACATTAAAT